CGACCCTGGGGTGTGGTGCTCATCTCCATTTCTAAGCCGAAAAGAGCCGGCGTTGTCCATAGACACCTCCAAAGGTCATGTGGCCAGCATGACTGCATGGAGCGCCCTTACCTTCCTGCCAGAGCAGTACCTATTAATCTACTCACATTTGCATGTTTTCGAACTGCTAGGTTGGCCTTAAACCCAATTAAAACCCTAGCTCCCCTTGACCCCACCTGCTGACCCCTTGACCGCACCTGGAAGACGTCGTTGGCGCACTTTCGGCAGAGGTTGTGCTGGCAGGGCAGGATGACCACAGGCTTGGAGAACATCTCCAGGCAGATGGGGCAGATGAGCTGCTTCTCCAGGCTGTCCATGCTCTGGGCCGAGGGGCTCCCCCCAGTCAAGGACTTGAAGCCCCCCGGGAAGTTCATCCCAAAGCAGAAGGACGAGAAGGACGAGGACGAGAAGGGTCTCCTCCTGGCTCTCCCTCCACCCTCCTTCTTCTCTGGCCCTTCTCTGGGGGGTATTTTTAGCCTCCCACGTGACCCCAAAGGCATGCCAGGCTCCCATTCCTGCTCGGGGTCATCCAGGATGGGTGGGGCACTGGGGGTCCAGCTGTCGGCGGCATCAGGTGGCGCTGAGTCACTCGCCTCGAGGGGAGCGTGACGACACCCCTCTTGTGCAGACCCCCACCCACCAATAATAATAATAATATCATCATCATCGGCGTGTGCTTTCTATTAATAGGGCCATGGAATCATAGGCCTCTCCTCATGGGGATCTAGGCCAACCCTCTGCCATGCAGGAAAAGCACAGTCAAAGCACCCCCAACAGATGGACATCCAGCCTCTGCTGGAAACACCCCAGAGGGGGAGACCTCACTGAACCCTCTTTCCGCCTCTGGCACACAGCACTAACTCTCATAGAATCATAGTCCAGAGGAGGAGTTGTAGTCCAGAGTTAGAGAACTCCAATATGCTGATGACAACGTTGTCTGTGCGCATTCAGAAGACCTACAACATCTGTTACAGAATTCCAATATGCTGATGACAATGTAGACTGTCCTCATTCAGAAGAAGACCTACAACATCTGTTACAGAATTCCAATATGCTGATGACAGTATAGACTGTGTGCATTCAGAAGATATGCAACATGTTATAGAACTCCAATATGCTGATGACAATGCAATCTATGCTCATTCAGAAGAAGACCTACAACATCTGTTACAGACTTCCAATATGCTGATGACAATGTAGTCTGTGCGCATTCAGAAGAAGACCTACAACAATGATGGGCAACCTTTTGAGCTTGGTGTGTCAATACTTCCAAAAAAATGAGCATAACTCGAGAAGAAGAAGACCTACAACATCTGTTACAGAATTCCAATATGCTGATGACAGTATAGACTGTGTGCATTCAGAAGATATGCAACATCTGTTATAGAACTCCAATATGCTGATGACAATGTAGTCTGTGCTCATTCGGAAGAAGACCTACAACATCTGTTACAGACTTCCAATATGCTGATGAAAATGTAGACTGTGTGCATTCAGAAGATATACAACATCTGTTATAGAACTCCAATATGCTGATGATAATGTTGTCTGTGCGCATTCAGAAGAAGACCTACATCTGTTACAGAATTCCAATATGCTGATGACAATGTAGTATGTGCTCATTCGGAAGAAGACCTACAACATCTGGCTCATGTTCTCCTTCCTCTCGAGGACTCCCAGATCTTTCCCCACGCACTGCATCATCGCCCTCCATTCTGTCTCTTTGCGTTTCCTTCTTTTCTGCCTACGTGGAGTCTCTTGCGTGTGTCCCTGTTGAACGTCACGGTGTTAGTTTTGGCCCAACGTCTGTGGAGATCCCTTTGAATTCTGCTCCTGGGGATGGATGCTGGGAGCGGTGATTGTTGTTGTTCATTCATTCAGTCGTTTCCAACTCTTCGTGACCTCCTGGACCAGCCCACGCCAGAGCTCCCTGTCAGCTGTCACCACCCCCAGCTCCTTCAAGGCCAGTCCAGTCACTTCAAGGATGCCAGTAATGTTATGGAACTTGGTCGACACCTCTTCCTTTTTCCTTCCATTTCCCCCAGTATCATTGTCTTCTCTAGGTGGCCTTCTGGACCAGCCCACGCCAGAGCTCCCTGTTGGCCGTCACCACCCCCAGCTCCTTCAAGGTCAATCCAGTCATTTCAAGGATGCCATCCATCCATCTTGCCCTTGGTTGGCCCCTCTTCCTTTTTCCTTCCATTTCCCCCAGCATCATTGTCTTCTCTAGGTGACCTCATGGACCACCGCATGCCAGAGCTCCCTGTCGGCCGTCACCACCCCCAGCTCCTTCAAGGTCAATCCAGTCATTTCAAGGATGCCATCCACCCACTGTGCCCTTGGTCGGCCCCTCTTCCTTTTTCCTTCCATTTTCCCCAGCATCATTGTCTTCTCTAGGTGACTTCATGGACCACCCCATGCCAGAGCTCCCTGTCGGCCGTCACCACCCCCAGCTCCTTCAAGGTCAATCCAGTCATTTCAAGGATGCCATCCACCCACTGTGCCCTTGGTCGGCCCCTCTTCCTTTTTCCTTCCATTTTCCCCAGCATCATTGTCTTCTCTAGGTGACTTCATGGACCACCCCATGCCAGAGCTCCCTGTCAGCCATCACCACCCCCAGCTCCCTCAAGGTCAGTCCAGTCACTTCAGGGATGCCATCCACCCACCTTGCTCTTGGTCAGCCCCTCTTCCTTTTTCCTTCCATTTTCCCCAGCATCATTCCCTTCTCCAAGCTTTCCTTTCTTCTCATGATGTGGCCATCTTGGCCTCTACTATCCTTCCCTCCAATGAGCAGTCGGGCTTTAATGTAATGTTCATTTGTGGGATTAAGAGAACTCAAAAACCACTGGACGAATTGACACCAAATTTGGACACAAGACACCTAACAACCCAATGTATGTCCTTCACTCAAAAAGAAATGATTTTGTCATTTGGGAGTTGTAGTTGCTGAGATTTATAGTTCACCTACAATCAAAGAGCATTCTGAACTCCACCAACTATGGAATTGAACTAAACTTGGCAGACAGAACTCCCATGGCACACAGAAAACACTGGAAGGGTTTGGTGGGCATTGACCTTGAGTTTGGGAGTTGTAGTTCACCTACATACAGAGAGCACTGTGGACTCACACAATGATGGATGTGGACCAAACTTGGCACGAACATTCCATATGCCCAAATGTGAACACTGGCGGAGTTTGGGGAAAGCAGACCTTGCCATTTGGGAGTTGTAGTTGCTGGGATTTATAGTTCACCTACAATCAGAGCATTCTGAACTCCACCAAGGATGGAATAGAACCACACTTGGTACAGAACTGCCATGACCAAGAGAAAATACTGGCAGGGTTTGGTGGGCATTGACCTTGAGTTTGGGAGTTGTAGTTCACCTACATCCCGAGAGCACTGTGGACTGAAACAATGATGGATCTGGACCAAACTTGGCATTCATACTCAATATGCCCAAATGTGAACACTGGTGGAGTTTGCGGAAAATAGACCTTGACATTTGGGAGTTGTAGTTGCTGGGATTTATAGTTCACCTACAATCAAAGAGCATTCTGAACTCCACCAACGATAGAATTTGGCCAAACTTCTCACACAGAACTCCCATGATCAACAGAAAATACTGAAAGGGTTTGGTGGGCATTGACCTTGAGTTTTGGAGTTGTAGTTCACCTACATCCAGAGAGCACTGTGGACTCAAATAAGGATGGATCTGGACCAAACTTGGCACGGGTAGTCAATATGCCCAAATGTGAACACTAGTGGAGTTTGGGGGAAATAGACCTTGACATTTGGGAGTTGTCGTTGCTGGGATTTATAGTTCCCCTACAACCAAAAAGCATCCTGAACCTTGACGCCAATGATAGAATTGGGCCAAACTTCCCACACCAACACAGAAAATACTGTGTTTTCTGATGGTCTTTGGTGACCCCTCTGACACCCCCTTGTGACCCCCCCCCCGGGGTCCCAACCTGAAACACCTGGTATTAAATGCAAGGGGGTCCTGAGCACTGCCAGAAACACAGACGTGGGCTTTGTTGACCAATGTGAATTTTGGGGGGGGGGGGGGGGGGGTGGCTGGCCAGCATGGCTTCCTTCATTCCAAAATAGCACCAGCCGCCAAAGTGACCGCAGCACCGAAAAAGGCCGGGCAGCAGGAGAGAGACAACAATAAATAGCCAGAGGATTCTTTCCAGGTGAATGGAGGGGGGTCACTTTACCCCTTCCCCTTTCCTCTGTCAGGACACAATGGCCTCCTCGCTTTTCCCCTCACGTCCTGCAGTGTCCAGGGGTCCGGCTGCTGGGCTGTATGGCCATGCTCTAGCAGCATTTTCTCCTGACATTTTGGCTGCACCTCAGGCCCCTTCCTTTTCCCCTTCAGCCGCTTAGAAGGCTGATGGAAAATAAAGGGCCTTAGGTGCATCTATGATTCTATGAAATAGAATCATAGAATCATAGAGTTGGAAGAGACCTCATGGACCATCCAGTTCAACCCCCTGCCAAGAAGCAGGAAAATTGCATTCAAAGCTCCCCCAACAGATGGCCATCCAGCCTCTGTTTAAAAGCTCTGCTTCAAAGCCTCCACCACACTCCAGGACAGAGAGTTCCATTGCTGAACAGCTCTCACAGTCAGGAATTTCTTCCTAATTTTCAGGAGGAATCTCCTTTCCTGTAGTTTGGAAGAACATGGCCATATAGTCCAAAAACCACACAACATATTGTTGTTGTTGTTTGTTTACCCTCCGCTTTTCTCTCTGCAGAGGAGACTTTTATTGTTGTTGTTTATTTATTCCCTTTTTCTCTTTATTATTGTTGTTTTATTCCCTTTTTCTCTCCACAAAGGAGACTTTTATTGTTGTTGTTGATTTATTCCCTTTTTCTCTTTATTATTGTTGTTGTTTATTTATCCCCCACTTTTTCTCTCCACAAAGGACACTTTTATTGTTGTTGTTGTTGTTGTTTATTTATTCCCTTTTTCTCTTTATTATTGTTGTTTATTTATTCCCCTTTTCTCCTTATTATTGTTGTTTTATTCCCTTTTTCTCTCCACAAAGGAGACTTTTATTGTTGTTGTTGATTTATTCCTTTTCTCTTTATTATTATTGTTGTTTATGACTGCTGGACTGACCACAGGCTAATTCGATCCTCGATGGCTCTCAAGATCGCTCCCAAGCACAGACTCCAAGGAAGGAAGACAAGGCGCAAAATGAACACCCAAGCCCTTCAGGAGCCCTCCAGACGAGCCCATCTCCAAACAGCACTCAAGGACCATCTACCCACAGTACACCCCGAAAGTGTCGAGGAACATTGGAACAAACTGAAGACCTCCATCATCCAAGCCTGCGAAGAAACTATTGGATACCAAGCCAAGAAACATCAAGACTGGTTTGATGAAAATGACATCGAGATCCAACAGCTAATTGACAAGAAAAGGAAAGCCTTCCAAGCATGGCAGAGAGACATCAACTGTGCTGCTAAGAAAAAGATCTATGCCAGTGCAAAAGCTGAGGTCCAAAGAAGGACAAGAGAACTCAAGAACATCTGGTGGACAAAGAAGGCTGAAGAAATCCAACACCTGGCAGATACCCATGATGCTCAGGGATTTTTCAAAGCCACAAAGGTCATCTATGGAACAAGAAACCATGGCATACAGCCTCTACACTCATCAGATGGAACCAAAGTCCTGAAGGACCAAAACTCAATTGCACTAGGTTGGAAAGAACACTACCAAAGCCTCCTGAACCGCAGCTCCAATGTGGCCGAAGAGGTCCTCTCACAAATCCCGCAACAACAAACCAGGGACGAGCTTGCAGCACTGCCTAGTTTGGAAGAAGTCAGCAATGCCATCAGCCAACAGAAGAATAACAAAGCCAGTGGACCAGATGGGATCCCTGCTGAAATCTTTAAAGAGGGAGGACCTGAGCTGACACACCAACTCCACCAGCTCATAGAAAAAGTGTGGCTGACCGAGAAAATCCCAGCAGATTTCAAGGACGCCACCATCATCACCCTCTTCAAAAAAGGGGAAAGAACAGACTGCGGAAACTATCGAGGTATCTCCCTTCTAACCTCCGCTGGGAAAATCCTCGCAAGAATCCTTGCAAACCGCCTTCTGCCCCTCTCAGAAGACACCCTCCCAGAATCCCAAAACGGCTTCCGCCCCTCCAGAGGAACCGTGGACATGATCTTCACTGCAAGACAGCTCCAAGAAAAATGCAGGAACAAAACCAACCTCTGTACATGGCATTCATCGACCTTGCAAAGGCATTCGACACAGTGAATCGCAGCGCTCTCTGGACCATCCTCCACAAAATCGGGTGCCCAAACAAATTTGTGAACATCCTGCGGCTCCTCCATGATGACATGATGGCAACAGTCTTGGACAGCAATGGCTCCCAAAGTGACCCATTTAAGGTGGAATCGGGTGTCAAACAGGGATGTGTTATTATTGCCCCAACTTTATTCTCCATCTTCATCGCTATGATACTTCACCTTGTTGATGGGAAGCTTCCCACCGAAGTGGAAATCATCTATCGGACAGATGGCAAGCTGTTTAACCTCAGCAGACTGAAAGCCAAAACCAAGGTTACAACAACATCTGTTATAGAACTCCAGTATGCTGATGACAATGTCGTCTGTGCGCATTCAGAAGAAGATCTACAAGCCACTCTAAACACCTTCGCAGAAGCATACGAGAAGCTCGGCCTGTCACTGAACATTGAGAAAACCAAGGTGCTGTTCCAGCAGTCGCCAGCCAATCCCTCTCCAATGCCAGTAATACAGCTTAATGGTGTCCCATTAGAAAATGTGGACCATTTCCGCTACCTTGGCAGCCACCTCTCCACCAAAGTCAACATCGACGCCGAAATACAACACCGCCTGAGCTCTGCAAGTGCAGCATTTTCCAGAATGAAGCAGAGAGTGTTTGAGGACCAGGACATCCGTAGGGAGACCAAGGTGCTTGTTTATAAAGCTATTGTCCTCCCAACCCTGCTATATGCCTGTGAGACGTGGACTGTCTACAGACGTCACATGCAGCTCCTGGAACGTTTCCATCAGCGCTGCCTCCAGAAAATCCTGCAAATCTCCTGGGAAGACAAGCGGACAAACGTCAGCGTGCTGGAAGAAGCAAAGACCACCAGCATTGAAGCGATGGTCCTCCACCATCAACTCCGCTGGACCGGCCACGTTGTCCAGATGCCTGACCACCGTCTCCCAAGCAGTTGCTCTACTCCGAACTCAAGAACGGAAAACGGAATGTTGGTGGACAGGAAAAGAGATTTAAAGATGGGCTCAAAGCCAACCTTAAAAACTCTGGCATAGACACTGAGAACTGGGAAGCCCTGGCCCTTGAGCGCTCCAGCTGGAGGACAGCTGTGACCAGCAGTGCTGCAGAATTTGAGGAGGCACAAGTGGAGGGTGAAAGAGAAAAACGTGCCAAGAGGAAGGCGCGTCAAGCCAACCCCGACCGGGACCGCCTTCCACCTGGAAACCAATGCCCTCACTGCGGAAGAAGATGCAGAGCAAGAATAGGGCTCACAGCCACATACGGACCCACAAGGAAATCCATAATGGAAGACCATCTTACTCGTCCAACGAGGGATCGCCTAAGTAAGTAAGTAAGTGTTTTATTTCCTTTTTCTCTTCGCAAAGTAGACTTTTATTGTTGTTGTTGATTTATTCCCTTTTTCTCTTTATTATTGTTGTTGTTGATTTATCCCCCACTTTTTCTCTCCGCAAAGGAGACTTTTATTGTTGTTGTTTATTTATTCCCTTTTTCTCTTTATTATTATTGTTGTAGTTGTTTATTTATTCCCTTTTCCTCTCTGCAAAGGAGACTTTTATTGTTGTTTGTTTATCCCCCGCCTTTTCTCTCTGCAAAGGAAACTTTTATTGTTGTTGTTGTTTATTTATTCCCTATTTCTCTTTATTATTATTGTTGTAGTTGTTTATTTATTCCCTTTTTCTCTTTATTATTATTGTAGTTGTTTATTTATTCCCTTTATCTCTCCACAAAGGAGACTTTTATTGTTGTTTGTTTATCCCCCGCCTTTTCTCTCTGCAAAGGAAACTTTTATTGTTGTTGTTGTTTATTTATTCCATTTTTCTCTTAATTATTGTTGTTTATTTATCCCCCGCTTTTTCTCTGGGCAAAGGAGACTTTTATTATTGTTGTTTATTTATTCCCTTTTTCTCTTTATTATTGTTGTTTTATTCCCTTTTTCTCTCTACAAAAGAGACTTTTATTGTTGTTTATTTATTCCCTTTTTCTCTTTATTGTTGTTGTTTATTTATCCCCCGCTTTTTCTCTGCGCAAAGGAGACTTTTATTATTGTTGTTTATTTATTCCCTTTTTCTCTTTATTGTTGTTGTTGTTGCTTATTTATGCTCCACCTTTTCTCTCTGCAAAGGAGACTTTTGTTGTTGTTGTTGTTGTTTATCCCCTGCTTTTTCTCTCTGCAAAGGATTTTTATTGTTATTGTTGTTTATTTATCCCCACTTTCTCTCTCCGCAAAGGAGACTTTTATTATTGTTGTTGTTTATTTATCCCCCGCTTTTTCTTTCCGCAAAGGAGACTTTTGACCAGAATTCGGACCGAGGGACGGACGGACGGAGAGACCAGAGCGGAAGGCGCTCCTCCTTTCTTTTGGAAACCTTTAATTGTGCAGAAGATCAAAACCCTTGACATCATCATCATCATCATCATAAAATGCATTTGTCACAGTGTGAAAAGGGCCCTTCGTCCAGGGCTTGCCCCACAGGAGCGGGCGGCCAAGACGCAGCAGCAGCCGCCTCACAGTGGCCGGAGTGGCCTTTCCGAGGCCCCAGTCGCAAAGGGCAGGGCTCAGGCCTCGACCCTTCCTCTGGGTCCCACGGGATGCAGTTTGGCACCGAGGCGGGAGGGAGGGAGGGGACGGGGCTGCCCCTTCCGCACATACACCCCGCTCACTCGCTCGTTGTCATTGCCGCAAGCTGGGCCAAGCTGCAGAGGGCATGGTCAAGCGCTGGTCAGCACCCCAGGCCACATAAGTCAAGGACAGGGCAGCCTGGCCTGAGAGGGACAAGCGAGGCAGGGAGTGGGGGGGGGACACCCCAGCCCCTCTTTTCCACCCATCCCTGGCCTGAAGGAAAGCCGGAAGGAAGGGAAGCCACGCAAAGACAGGCCAAGGGGGCCCCACGAGCCGCTTCTTGGCTGTGGGGAGAGAGGCAGAGAGAGGAGGGTCCTCTTCCTCCTCCTCCTCTTCCTCTTGGGCGAGATCCGCACAAGCCCTTGGCGCTGTTCCCTGAGAAGAAGAAGGCTAGTGGGGCCTGGGAGGGGCCCGGGGTCCGAGGCCCTCACCCCACCTTGGGGGGGGGCAAGCACACCCCCCAAATGGCAGGCCTCACAGTCCAGGGGGAGAGGGAACGCTGGCCCATCCGCCCCAGAGTCCAGTGGCAGGCCGGAGCCGGCGCTCAGGGACCGGGCCTCTCTGGAATGGCTGCAGAAGGTGGGGGGCTCTGGGGTGACCGGCAGCATGACCCTGCAGAAGAGAGAGAGAGAGAGAGAGAGAGAGAGAGAGAGAGAGAGAGGGGAGGAGGAGCCTCATGAACATGGAGCTCATAATTTTGGGAACACCAGCCAAAGACCCAGGCCTGCAATGACTAACTACCTGCTTGCTGGACTGTAATTAAAAGTTGCTAATGAGAAATGAAAAGTAAACTCTGATAAGAATTGGGACGATGGTCACAGAAATGTTTACAATGTTAAGAAGGAAGTCAACGTAAGGTCAACACCAATCAAGAAGAGTCCACATCTGGCCAGGAAACTGAGATGAAACCAGGATGGAAGGCTTCTATCATTAATTTACAAGCAGAATATTACTATAAAAGACTCAGTTTAATGATGCTCAAAGTGTGACCGACCTGAGGAGTCTGTTCCACCCGCTATGCTCTGCTCCATTGGAAGGAGAGAGATGGTGTACCTATTTTCTTTCTGTCTATCTATCTATCTATCTATCTATCTATCTATCTATCTATCTATCTATCTTTCTACCTACCTACCTACCTTTCTATCTACCTACCTATTTATTTATTTAGAGCTTTTATAACCTGGTCTTCTTGACCTCCGAAGAGGGACTCAGGCCAGCTAACAACAGGAAATTCATACACAAATAAGCTAAAACATAATAACATCATAATACATTAATACAATTAAATACATTAAAATACATTAAAATACAGATCAAATAATTACATAAAGCCAAATCGTCAAGATACAATCGCAAATTCATCACCATCCGCCAGTGTGGTCAACCGTTATTGACTCGAACACCATTCTGAGAATGCCATGTCCCAGAGCCAAGATTTTACCAGCTTTCTGAAAGTCAGGAGGGAAGGGGCAGATCTAATCTCCATCGGGAGAGAGTTCCAGAGCCGAGGGGCCACCACCGAGAAGGCCCTGTCCCTCGTTCCCACCAGACGCGACTGCGAGGGTGGTGGGACCGAGAGCAGGGCCCCTCCAGAAGATCTTAACAACCTTGATGGTTCATAGGGGAGAATCCGTTCAGACAGGTAAACTGGACAGTACTGCTCCCTTGCAAATCTGCCACTCTCCATAGGTACACCATCTCTCTCCTTCTCATGGTCGGTCACACTGGTCACTTTGGCCTTCCTTTCTCAAGGGAAGAGGAAGGAGTGCGCTTTTGGAGTCTTGGATTTTATGCAGGGAGTCAGGTTCTGCTGTGTGGAAAACACAGATCCGGTCCTTGGCACTGTGCTTAGGGAAGAAGTTTTGGCATTTTGGTGTTCTGAAGTTATGGCGTTATGGAAGTTATGGAACTATACATTGGCAGGCTGCAGGGAAACAGGATCTGGCCTAACAGGTGCTTCTGGTAATATTTGGGTGCATGAGGATGAATGCATATACATGTGGTGTGAATGTTGAATGAAAATGTAATTCCCCTTTATTTGTTTGTTAGCCATGTAATTGTGAATCCAATGCAGTTGCATAGAATCTGGATGTCTAAATGTTTTCCTGTAATCTGATCTACCTTCTCACACTGGAAATTGCAATAAAAAGAACCTATGCTTGAAAGTCATTCATGACACCACAGCTTGAGAATCGCTGCTCTAATCTTTTGGTTGGATTTCCAGTACTTTATTCCCAGTTGCAGGACAAGGGTTTGCGTGTACACACAAGCCCTTGTCCTGCCCTATTAGTCTCAAATCTGCACGTGCCCACTTTCCTTGGCGACTTGTTGACCATAATAGAATCCTTGAGCTGGAAAAGACCTCCTGGGCCATCCTCCAGTCCAGCCCCATTCTGCAAGAAGAAGGAATATTGCATTCAAATCACCCCTGACAGATGGCCATCCAGCCTCTGCTTCAAAGCTTCCAAAGAAGGCGCCTCCACCACACTCCCTCCGGGGCAGAGAGTTCCACTGCTGAACGGCTCTCACAGTCAGGAAGTTCTTCCTCATGTTCAGATGGAATCTCCTCTCTTGTAGTTTGAAGCCATGGCTCCATTGCGTCCTAGTCTCTCTCCAGGGAAGCAGAAAGGAAGCTTGCTCCCTCCTCCTCCCTGTGGCTTCCTCTCACATATTTATACATGGCTATCATATCTCCTCTCAGCCTTCTCTTCTTCAGGCTAAACATGCCTAGCTCCTTAAGCCGCTCCTCATAGGGCTTGTTCTCCAGACCCCTGATCTGCTCCCTCCTTCCTGTGGCTTCCTCTCACATATTGATACATGGCTATCATATCCCCTCTCAGCCTTCTCTTCTTCAGGCTAAACATGCCCAGCTCCTTAAGCCGCTCCTCATAGGGCTTGTTCTCCAGACCCCTGCTCTGCTCCCTCCTCCCTGTGGCTTCCTCTCACTTATTTATACATGGCTATCATATCTCCTCTCAGCCTTCTCTTCTTCAGGCTAAACATGCCCAGCTCTTAAGCCGCTCCTCATAGGGCTTGTTCTCCAGACCCTTGATCATTTGAGCTGCCCTCTTCCTCTGGACACATTCCAGCTTAGAGTCAACCTCTCCCTTCAATCGCGGTGCCCAGAATGGGACCCAGTGTGATTCAAGGTGAAGTGGTCTGACCAAGGCAGAATGGAGCAAAGGGAGCATGACTTCCTTGGATCTGTGGTGAAGGCTCCTTCTTTGGAAGCTTTGAAACAGAGGCTGGATGGCCATCTGTCGGGGGTGATTGGAATGCAATATTCCTGCTTCTTGGCAGGATGGGGTTGGACTGGATGATGGCCCAGGAGGTCTCTTCCAACTCGAGGATTCTAGGATTCTATGATCTAGGCACTAGACTTCTATTGACACAGGCCAAAATCCCGTTGGCCTTTTTAATACGACGACAAGACAGACAACAGGCAGAGGTATATTGAGGCTTTTTCTCATCTGTCTGTGTGTGTCCTGGGCTGTGCAGTCCTCATGGACGGTGGAGGTCAGTCCCTGTCGTGCTGTGTCCACTCATGGAGGCATCCCCAGCCACACTTAGAGACCCCCCCCCCCACAACCCAAACTACTGGACGGTGGAGGTCAGTCCCTGTCGTGCTGTGTCCACTCATGGAGGCATCCCCAGCCACACGAAGAGACCCCCCCCAAATCCAAACTACTGGACGGTGGAGGTCAGTCCCTGTCGTGCTGTGTCCACTCATGGAGGCATCCCCAGCCACACGAAGAGACCCCCCCCCAAATCCAAACTACTGGACGGTGGAGGTCAGTCCCTGTCGTGCTGTGTCCACTCATGGAGGCATCCCCAGCCACACGAAGAGACCCCCCCCCAAATCCAAACTACTGGACGGTGGAGGTCAGTCCCTGTCGTGCTGTGTCCACTCATGGAGGCATCCCCAGCCACACGAAGAGACCCCCCCCCCCAAATCCAAACTACTGGACGGTGGAGGTCAGTCCCTGTCGTGCTGTGTCCACTCATGGAGGCATCCCCAGCCACACGAAGAGACCCCCCCCAAATCCAAACTACTGGACGGTGGAGGTCAGTCCCTGTCGTGCTGTGTCCACTCATGGAGGCATCCCCAGCCACACGAAGAGACCCCCCCCCCAAATCCAAACTACTGGACGGTGGAGGTCAGTCCCTGTCGTGCTGTGTCCACTCATGGAGGCATCCCCAGCCACACGAAGAGACCCCCCCCAAATCCAAACTACTGGACGGTGGAGGTCAGTCCCTGTCGTGCTGTGTCCACTCATGGAGGCATCCCCAGCCACACGAAGAGACCCCCCCCAAATCCAAACTACTGGACGGTGGAGGTCAGTCCCTGTCGTGCTGTGTCCACTCATGGAGGCATCCCCAGCCACATCAAACACCCCTCCCATCCAAGCCACTGGACGGCGAAGGGCGGGGCCTGTTTGTGCCCCCAGCCAGGCCTCTCCCTCTTGCTCACCTGGTCAGGGCTTGCGGGTCTGGGTCTCGTCTGTGGTGTGCACGGAGGCGCCGGCTGTGGGTTGCATCCGGATGGCACCTGGGGTAGCCGGGAGGAGTCAAGGGGGTCACAGCATTGAGACACAGAGCAAAGTGCATTTCAAACAGTGCATTTTAAGGCTGAGACCAATGTTTTTAATGTTTATGTACGCATATCATGAGTTCATGTCCTGGCACTGAATGTTTATCTTTGGGATGTTGTGCTCCACCCTAAGTCCCCAGAATATAAATATTTTAAATAAAGCTATATAAATAAAAATGTAGTGTTAGTTTGTGGGATTAACAGAACTCAAAAACCACTGGGGGAATTGACACCAAATTGGGACACAAGACACCTAACAACCCAATGTATGTCCTTCACTCAAAAAAAAAAAAGATTTTGTCATTTGGGAGTTGTAGTTGCTGGGATTTATAGTTCATTTACAATCACAGAGCATTCTGAACCCCACCAACGATAGAATTGGGCCAAACCTCCCACACAGAACCCCACAGCAACAAACGGCAGGGGATGACTAGTCTATATAAATAAAAACGTCATGTTCGTTTGTGGGATTAACATAACTCAAAAACCACTGGACGAATTGACCCCAAATTTGGACGCAAGACACCTAACAACCCAATGTATGTCCTACACTCATCAAAACACTGGAAGACACAGAGGAAGGGAATTTAAAAGCCAAAAACCAAAAAATACCATATATATATATATATACACACACACACACACACACACACACACTCACACACATGCGCACAAACACACATATATACACATATATACAAAAATATACCCCCAATATGGACACAAGACACCTAACAACCCAATGTATGTCCTACATTCATCAAAACACTGGAAGACACACAGGAAGGGAATTTAAAAACCAAAAAATACCATATATATATATATATATATACACACACACACACACACTCACACACATGTGCACAAACACACATATATACACATATATACAAAAATATACCCCCAAATTTGGACACAAGACACCTAACAACCCAATGTATGTCCAACACTCATCAAAACACTGGAAGACACAGAGGAAGGGAATTTAAAAGCCAAAACCCAAAAAATACCATATATATACACACACACTCACACACATGCGCACAAACACACATATATACAAAAATATACACACACACATACCCACACAAAACACATAGACTGGGCCACAGCAACGTGTGGCAGGGGACAGTTAGTAATAAATAAATAAGCAAAAAGGAAAGAAGCCCCCAAGGAGACCCATGTTCCCCACACCCCTGTGTGTCTTCCCCCCCCTTACCCCCCACGTCTCACCATACCCACACAAAACACATATACACAGACTGGGCCACAGCAACACGTGACAGGGGATGGCTAGTGTATATAAATAAAAATGTAATGTTTGTTTGTGGGATTTAGAGAACTCAAAAACGACTGGGGGAATTGACACCAAATTTGGACACAAGACACCTCTCAGGACAATGTATGTCCTTCACTCATAAAAACACAGCAAAACGCAGCAGAAGGTACTTTAAAAGCCCCCAAAAGCTAAATGATGGAAAGCTAAATGACAATACAGAAAAAAGGGAAGAAAGAGGGGGGGAAAGAAAGAAGGAAAGGGGGAAGGAAGGAAGGAAGGAAAGAGGTAGAGAAGGAAGAAAGAAGAGGGAGGGAAAGAAAAAAGGGGAAGGAAGGAAAGTTAAGGAAGGAAGAAGAGAAGGAAAGAAAAAAGGAAAAGAAGGAAGGAAAGAGGGAGCGAAGGAAGGGGGGAAGATGTAGAGAAAGAGGGAGCGAAGGAAAGAGAGAAGGAAGAATAGAGAGACAGCAGAAGAGAAAGAAAAAAGGGGTGCGGAAGGAAAGAGATAGAGAAGGAAGGAAGAAGAGAAGGAAAGACAGCAAGGAAGGAAGGAAAGAGCGAGTGAAGGAAGGAGAGAAAGAAGGAGAGAAAGAGGGAAGGTTGGCCACAGCAATGCGTGGAGGGTACAGCTAGTAATAAATAAATAAGCAAAAGGGAAAGAAGCACCCAGGGAGACCCACGTTTCCACACCCCTGTGTGTCTCCCCCCCCCCCCACCCCCCGCCCCTCATGTCTCACCTTCGTCCTCTGCCCGGATCTGGGCCTCCAGGTCTTCGGGGTTGACGTACTTGTAGGCCTCCTCGTCTTCCGGGGGGCGGCACTTCCCGCAGCAGAAGCAGCAACAGCAGCAGCAACAGCAGCAGGTGACCAGGCTGCAGCAGACCATCAGTGGCTGGAGGAAGGGGGAGAAGGGTCAAGGCTGAGGGCAAGGGGTGCCGGACCCCCCTTTCCCCACTCCCCACCCCAGGGAGGAGCCCACCTTGAACCACCACTTGGACATGAGGAAGTAGTACTTGACGCTCTCCTCGCCAAACTGCTCCGAGACGTAGAGCCCCATGGAGCCGTACTCGTCGTAGATCCGCCGCTTGTTCTCATCGCTGAGGGTGGTGTTGGCGTTGTTGATCTCCTTGAACATCTCGGCCGCTTCTGGGTTGTCTGGGTTCTTGTCCGGGTGGTATTTCAGCGCCAGTTTCCTGGGAGGAGGAGGAGGAGGAAGGAAAAGAAGTCAACGTCTCACTCCGAAGCAGACCCGTTTGGACACGCTGTGGCGGAACACCCTTCTGTCCCGTTGAGGAAGACTTCCTAACCCTGACTCACATTCAAAGAATACTATGTGACACGATGTTTGTTCCTGGGTCATAAATGTCATTTCCTCACTGGTTCTATCATGAAAAACATGGGAAAAGTTTATTAAAAATATTATATTTGAATTTGGCCCCGCCCAGTGTAATTCCTTTGTATTTTAATGTTTGATTTTATATTGCTGTGCCATCTATTATGTTGGTTTTGCATTTTATATATTTTATTTTCTGGTTTTGTTATGCTTTTGTGTAATATTGGTTTTTTTGTACTGATGGACATGGCCTCATGTAAGCCTCCCCGAGTCCCCCTGAGGGAGATGGAGCAGGGTATAAATAAAGTATTATTATTATTATTATTATTGTTATAGTATTATTATTGGGTTGTTGTAGGTTTTTTCAGGCTCTATGGCCATGTTCTAGAGGCATTCTCTCCTGATGTTTCGCCTGCATCTATGGCAAGCATCCTCAGAGGTAGTGAGGTGCCTACTCACTACCGAGAGCATCCTACCTCTGAGGATGCTTGCCATAGATGCAGGCGAAACATCAGGAGAGAATGCCTCTAGACCATGGCCATAGAGCCTGAAAAAAACCTACAACAACCCAACTGCACCAACTGCCGCTCTGGGCCAGTGAAGAGAGATGGGGCCAGGAGATGCCATCTGAACACGAGGAAGAACTTCCTGACTGTGAGAGCCGTTCAGCATAGAATCCTAGAATCCTAGAAACAAAGAGTTGGAGGAGACCTCCTGGGCCATCCTCCAGTCCAACCCCATTCTGCCAAGAAGCAGGAATATTGCATTCAAATCACCCCTGACAGATGGCCATCCAGCCTCTGTTTAAAAGCTTCCAAAGAAGGAGCCTCCACCACACTCTGGGGCAGAGAGTTCCACTGCTGAACGGCTCTCACAGTCAGGAAGTTCTTCCTCATGTTCAGATGGAATCTCCTCTCTTGTAGTTTGAAGCCATTGTTCCATTGCGTCCTAGTCTCCAGGGAAGCAGAAAACAAGCTTGCTCCCTCCTCCTCCCTGTGCCTTCCTCTCACATATTTAGAACTCTCTGCCCCGGAGGGAGTGTGGTGGAGGCTCCTTCTTTGGAAGCTTTTAAAGGGAGGCTAGATGCCCATCTGTTGGGGGTGCTTTGAATGTAATATTCCTGCTTCTTGGCAGAAGGGGGTTGGACTGGGTGGCCCAGGAGGTCTCTTCCAACTCTAGGATTCTATGAGAGGGAGAAACTCTTGAGGAGGGGTCTCTGGCCAAGCCCAGGAAGGAGCTGGCCTTGCTTATCCCCTTTCCACAGCAGCGATGGGGGGCAAAGGTCAACAGCGACATATGGACTACAGGTGCATCTAAACCAGGCACGGGCCAGGTGTTGAGGACTTCAGCCCCCACCATTCCCAACAACCGGTAGGGATGCTCCTGCCTTCCTCGGACGGAGCAACCAACCTCCTTGTTTCCTTTCCTTTATTTTTTTCCCGTAAGAAGCTGGACTTGTTTGCAGAAGCGGTGAGGAAACACCCTCATATGGGAGACTTCCGCCTGGTTCTTTTGTCTGCTGCGCTCTGTGTGTTTTGTGGGAGGCGGACGGTCTCCCTGTTCTGCCACCAAAGGGTAAATCTCGTGTCTCCAGACCATCAATCATGGGGTTCAGGGAGCCTTTCTAGATCCTGGAAGATCAAGCCCAACCCTCTTCATTCAGCCAGGCAGGAAAAGCACCATCAAAGCTCTCCCCCCAACAGTCAGCCAACCTCTAGAACGCTAAGATCTTCTGGGGAGGTCCCGCTCTCGCTCCCACCTTCCACACCGAGAGACAGGGCCTTCTCGGTGGTGGCCCCTCAACTGTGGAACGCCCTGCCTAGAGAGATAAGATCGGCCCCCTCCCTCCTGTCTTTCCGAAGAATGGTGAAAACCTGGCTTTTCAAACAGGCCTCCCCAAATATGGCATAAATATATAGAATCCTAGAATCAAAGAGTTGGAGGAGACCTCCTGGGTATCCAGTCCAACCCCATTCTGCCAAGAAGCAGGAATATTGCATTCAAATCACCCCTGACAGATGGCCATCCAGCCTCTGCTTCAAAGCTTCCAAAGAAGGAGCCTCCACCACACTCCGGGGCAGAGAGTTCCACTGCTGAACAGCTCTCATATAGAATCCTAGAGTGGGAAGAGACCTCCTGGGCTATCATCCAGTCCAACCCCATTCTGCCAAGAAGCAAAGATATTGCATTCAAATCACCCCTGACAGATGGCCAAAGCAGCCTCTGTTTAAAAGCTTCCAAAGAAGGAGCCTCCACCACACTCCGGGGCAGAGAGTTCCACTGCTGAACAGCTCTCACAGTCAGGAAGTTCTTCCCCGTGTTCAGATGGAATCTCCTCTCTTGTATGATATTATGACGCAACCGGACAATGACGCAACCGGACAATGATCTGAGATGGAGACGCTTCGATATTGTTTTAATGTTTTGTTTACTCTGTTTGTGCATGAATTTTCTGCTCTTAGCCGGCCTGAGTCCCTCTTCGGAGGTCAAGAAGACCAGGTTATAAAAGCTCTAAATAAATACATAAATGCTGTGTACGATTTGCATGTTTATATAGTTAGCATTTTAAAGTATTAATGATTGTTTTCTTTTGTTGTAACTGTTCTGGTATCAAATTGTTCCCGATTGTTAACCGCTCCGAGTCACCCTTGGGCTGAGAGGGGCGGTATATAAATGTAGTAAATAAATAGTAAATGAATAAACCTCTAGGTTCTTGTGGGTTTTTTCGGGCTATAGAGCCATGTTCTAGAGGCATTTCTCCTGACGTTTCGCCTGCATCTATGGCAAGCATCCTCAGAGGTAGTGAGGTCTCACTCCCTCTGAGGATGCTTGCCATAGATGCAGGCGAAACGTCAGGAGAAATGCCTCTAGAACATGGCTCTATAGCCCGAAAAAACCCACAAGAACCTAGTGATTCCAGCCATGAAAGCCTTCGACAATACATTGAATAAACCTCTGCTTAAAAGACTCCAAAGGACTCCCAAGCAGAGAGTTCCACTGCTGAACAGCTATTCTTACGGTCAAGAAGTTCTTCCTGACACTATTCAGGTGGGATCTCCTTCCTGTCACCTGAACTATTGTTCTAAGTCCTAGCCCTGGCCAAGCTGAGCCCTTGACTCACATCCTGTCTCTCCCCGGACATGAAAGCGGCCCTGGGGCCGAGTGTCTGAAGAAGGCAAGTCATCCAGAAATTAGCATTCCTCCTTCCTCGACAAGAGCAGGGCTTCTCAAACTGTGCTCCATGGAGCCCTTGGGACTGGGCAGCCCTGGGGATTCTGCTATTATTATAAGTGATTCTTGAAGAGAGAAACCATGAACATGCAAATCAGCTCAAAGTCCACCTGTGTGATTTTCTTGCATCAACTGAGGAGATGCTCCATGGTTTCCTCCGCTTCCTTGCCCAGTCTGCATTTTGGGCCATCCGCTGATTTTTCCATCCTGGCCTGAATGGCCCTTGTTTTGATGGCTTGCTCCTGGGCTGCAAGAATCAGGCCTTCTTCTGTCTCCTTCTTCAGGGTTCCATTCGTGAGCCAGAACCAGATCTTCTTCTTCTTGTCAACTTTTCCTTCAACTTTGTCAAGCCGAGGTTTGTTTTTTTGTAAGATTGTTGACAGAGGGATCATGGCAATGATGAAAAGCAGTGGGGACAATGAGTCTCCCTGGAAAATTCCTCTTCTGATGTTGACAAGCCCATAGTTTCCATTTCCAACATGATGATGATGATGATGATTACTACTACTACTACTACTACTACTACTACTACTACGAAGACTGGGTGGCAATTTATATGGGGTGCTTTGATTGTGCTTTTCCTACATGCAGAAGGGGGTGGGACTGGTTCCGGTCCAGTGTATCTGTCCGAACGTATCTCCCTCTATGTCCCACCTCGGAGTCTGAGATCATCTGGGGAGGCCCTGCTCTCGACCCCACCACTGTCACAAGTGAGGCTGGAGCAGGGCTTTCTCAGTGGTGGCCCCTCACCTGTTGAACTCACTCCCGGGGGAAATCAGGACATCATCATCCCTCCTCTCCTTCAGGAGGAGGGTGAAGACGTGGCTATGGGACCAGGCCTTTGGACAATTTGGCAATTAAATAAGACAATCAGGCAAGTAAGACCAACAGGACTGACGAAGTGGAACGAAAATTAGAACTATGAGTTAGCGAACGCGCCCCCCAGCTCCCTCCCCCACCCCCCCCCCCCCCCCCCGCCCGCACCCCCCCCCCCCCCCCCCACTATGACTTAGCGAACGCTGACCATGTAGGAGGAGGAATTGGGTTTGTATTGGTTTTATTGATTTTATTGGTATAATGCATGAATTGTTGTTAACTGTGAATTGATGTAATTTTGTGTTTTGATTGTTCTGTGATGCAGGCATCAAATTGTGCCTTTGCTTTTGTAAGCCGCCCTGAGTCCCCTTCGGGGTGAGAAGGGCGGGGTAAAAGAACCCCGAAACAATAATTAAAAAAAGATGGCCCCTGGGGTTGCTCCTATTATTATTACAAACGTTGGGTGGCCATCTGTTGGGGGTGCTTTGATTGTGCTTTGATTGTGCCAGGCCCAAAGGGACTGGACTAGATGCCCCCTGGGTGCCTTTCACTGAAATATTGTTAAGTTTATGTTGGTTAAAATTGTTATTCATTTTACATATTGTATTATTTATTTATTCCCCCCCCCCTTTTTTTTTTGCACTGTGTGAATTAGTTCACACAAACACTCTCCACCCATCTGCCTCTGGCTTGGCCCATGCCTAATATATATACTTTATATATAATATAGTATGTAATATGTAAACATTATATTACATTATATTATATTCCAGCTTGGGGAATTGGCTATGCACAGGTTATTTTAAAGTGTTG